AGAGCACACTTCGAAGTATTCCTGGGGTCTGTCCCTACTTTGATGATGTCCTCATTGCTGGGGAGTAATCTCAAAATTTAGCAGAAATATTAAGGGCTGTCTTGCTTCGTTTTCGAAAAGCAGGCCTTAAACTAAAGAAGGATAAATGTAAGATAGGAGTCACTTCTACTGACTTCTTAGGATTCAGGATTGATGCTCAAGGCATTCACCCTGCTGAAACTAAATTGCAAGCTATCCAGCAGGCCCCAAGCCCTAAGTCTAAGAGTGAGCTGCAAGCCTTCTTGGGGCTATTAAATTTTTACAATGCATTTCTCCCACATAAAGCTGCAGTGGCAGAGCCATTACACAGGCTCTTAGACAAGCAGGCTCCTTGGCAGTGGACTAAAGTCCATGACAAGAGCTTCAATGAGGTTAAGGCCTTGCTCACTTCTAATGCTGTTTTAGCGCATTTCAATGAGCAACTGCCTGTTTGCATCGCATGCGATGCATCACCTTATGGGGCGGGAGCTGTACTTAACCATTTGAAGGCTGATGGGACACAGGTTCCTGTGGCCTATTACTCAAGGACTCTGTCTTCTGCAGAGCGGAATTATGCTCAAATTGACAGAGAAGCCTTGGTCATAGTGGCTGGCATTAAGAAATTTCATGATTTCTTATATGGCTGCCATTTCAAGATCTATACTGACCATAAGCCTCTGCTGGGTTTGTTTACCACTACAAACAGACCCCACATATCATTTCTCCTTGTATGCTGAGATGATCCATTTTCCTGTCAGCATATGACTACACATTAATTCACAAACCAGGAAAAGAAATGGGTCATGCAGATGGCCTGAGCAGATTACCCCTGAACCAATTAGAGCCAGATCCTGTTCAAGCCATTAATATTCTCTCCATTCAGGAGTTGCCTGAGTCTCCCCTCAATGCTAGGTACGTGGCTGCAGAAACTGCCACTGATCACACGCTTACATGCGTGCTGACATGGGTGTTGTCAGGATGGCCTGACAAGTGCCCAGATACTGAGTTCCAAAGCTTTTGGCACAAGAAGCATGAGTTTTCCACTTTCAAGGTTGCCTGTTATGGGGTAGCAGGGTAGTGATCCCAGCCTCATTGAGGTCTAGAATCTTGATCTCTCTGCATGAGGGACATCCTGGTATAGTCAGGATGAAAGCGCTTGCGCGCAGCCATCTTTGGTGGCCTGGGCTCGATAAAGCCATCGAGGCCCAGGTGCACGGGTGCCAAGTGTGCCAACAGTCTTGGCCTGAAATGCCTCAGGCCCCTGTACACAGGTGGGAGGAAACTCAAACCCCATGGTGTAGTGTGCATATAGATTATGCTGGGCCCTTTCAGGGGCAATTCTTCCTGGTTGTTGTTGATAGCCATTCCAAGTGGCTAGAGGTTGTTCCTGTTTCCTCCACTACTACTGCCAGGACCATCCAGGTGTTGAGAGGAATTTTTGCATCACACAGTCAATTTACCTGAGTTCCAGGCTTTTCTTCAAGCCAACCTGATCTGGCATGCACCATTGGCTCCCTTCCATCCCTCCTCCAACTGACTGCCAGAGAGAATGGTGTGCACCACCAAAGATGCTCTCAAGAAACTGACTTACGGCAACGGCATCACAGGTTAGCTGATTTCCTTCTTGCACACCGCACCACACCATGCACAGCCATAGGGAAGAGCCCTGCTGAACTCCACTGGGGTCAACGCCTCACCACTAAACTGGACAGGGTGGCTTCATAGGTATCACAACCGCAGGCACCTAGGAGACTTCAGGTGGGTGATCCGGTTTGGGCAAGAAATTATGGGCCTGGACATCTCTGGGTCACAGATCTGCAAGGTCTCTGGGCGGTTGTCATATGAAGTTGCCTTGGGGGACGGCCACATTCTTTGCAGACACATAGACCAACTGTGTTGGAGACTGGACTCTCTCCCTTCTGCTTCTGGCTCTGCTCTGGGGGGGGGGGAGGAGGAGGACCACAATATGCATTCTGGGTCACAGTTTCCCAGGCCTAACAGGCCCTCACTAGCTGCTACTGAGGCTGTTTGGGATTCATCCCAAGGTTCTGCAAGTGCTCCAAACAGGAATTCACTGGATAGGGGGTCATCCCACACATCCATAATTATTCCAGATAGGGAGTCACACCGGGGGTATCCACAGTATTCACATATGTCAGATAGTGCTCCAGACAGGGAGACTGACCGAGGGTATCCACACAAATCACAAGCAGCAAGAGAAAAAGAATTCCATCAGGGGCGCTTGCCTAATTCCGCAATTGCTCCTGAAAGGAAGTCACCAGCAAAGGGGATTGCCATGGAGGCGACTCCTTACTCTGGCACCTCGGGCACGTGCTTGGGAGCCACAGAGTACTGGGGCATTTCTGCTACCCAGCTCTCTCCATTCTGCTGGCCTTGGGCTCGAGGGACAGTGTCCCCAAGAGGGGTCCATTGTGGACTCAGAGACTTCCACCCCTCCAAGGTATGCTGGCTTGGACTTAGAGGGTCCAGCCAGCCAGCAGCTGGGCGAGTCAACCGGGTATTTGGGGCAGCAAAGTCCTGGCCTGCCTAGTCTGGTAGGCGAACAGGTAGGCCAGGCACCCTCACCAGGGTCATCTGGTGATTTAGGGCAGCAACGTCCTGGCCTGGCTAGCCTGGTAGGTGAGCAGGTGGGCCAGGTAATCTCTCTGGGCATTAGAAGGTCGCAGCGGGCCATGAGCCCACCCAAACATCTGAGAGACTTTGTGAGGTTGCTGTCAAATCATGACGGACCTGCTCATGAGGCCCCTGAATAAGGGGAGTAACTCGTGGGTAGATTATTTTGTATTAATTTTGATTTTGGATACATTTATTTGTATTAATAAATACTGAAGGGGGTTTGCCTGAGGGCAGACTTGAGATTCCACACTCTTTGCATTTGAATAATGCAACTGTATGCCACTCTTCCCAATGCATGATGTACATGTGTGTACGCGAAGTATGTTCCATCCAGGGGGGAGGGGTGTTGTGTCCTGAGCCTGCAAAAGCAGGCTCGGGATGTTGCATTGGTCCCGGGCATTCCAAAAGCTGCCCGGGACCAGACAGAGCGGCACCGGCCTTGTGCGCATGCACAAGGCGTGAAAACGCTCTGTTCCTATTGGTTGGCACTGTCCAGGCTTCTGGCCATATAAAAAGGCCTGTGTGCCTTTTGCTTTTGCTTGGTTGTTGTAGAAGGAAAATAAAGTGTTTGTTCAGCATCGCCGTGTGTCTTCATCATTCGCACGCGAACGAAGTATATAACAAAAGGCATACTGTTTCATTCATTGTTTCTCTTCTAAGACTGTCAGGAAGACAGACTAGGAAATTATTTAATCTACAGAAAATTTAAAAAGTGATACTTTCTGAAAATAATAGCTTGTATATGAACCGCATTTGTTGGGTATTGCAAGTCATTTGTAAGATTTTATATTTTCAGTGCCCATAATGACTAGAGCTCAAAACAAAGGCTTTATGTCTAAGATTTAGTTTTAATTCAAGCTTTTGTAATCAAAACCATAGGTAAATCCTCAAGGGCTATTTCTTTTCTTGCAAATTACCTGCATGCAAGAAGGCTTTGTCCAATGATTGTGGAGCCTTCTGCTGCCTTATAAATGTAGAACAAAGAGAAGCAAAATCATTTTTATATCACCTCCAACACATACTTTATTGTCACAGGAAGTGTAACAAACTTAATCTGTTAAGTCTGTGTGGCTTTATTTAGATGCACTTTCTTGATACTATTTCTGCCTCTTTTTTTTTTCTTTTTGCTATTGGTAATTCTGGAGCTAAGACTGCCATCTGGAATGGTTACTGCTGAATTTGGGTTAAAGTTTGTTGTTTTAATATTACTTCCTATCTCTCTAGAGAGAAATAACTTGCAAATAGTTAGAAAAGAGGGTGCACATGACAATTTCATACCTGCCTCTCTCAACCTCCATGTGTCAGCCAGAGATCTAAAATGCTGCTAGGCCCAGTTTGGCTTAAATTTGTGTTCAGCTCATCACATGATCAGAGATGCCTAGTAAAATAAGATCTGCACTCATATTCAAGAAAATGAAGAACAGAATTTTCCTTTGGACCTTTTATTTAATACATGGAGGTCAAATAGAGTGGAAAGGACAAGCATGACTCTTTTTCCCTATTCATTTTCAAATTCATATTCATCTGACTGAATACTGTAACTTGATGACTGTTCCTCTAAATCACTTTGATAACCAAAAATAGGTACTGTATAATCCAGGAACCTAGACTGTGACTTTTGCAGTTAAGGTTTTTTAGTTTTTCATATAATTGAATGGAGAATGGAAGAAATCTTATTTTATCATATTTCAGTACCTGGTTTTCTTTTCCAAAGAAATTGGAAGTTGCTAAAGGAATTATTTAAAGCTATTTAGAAAAGATAGGATGTCTTCTTTGTTCTTCTTGTTCTTCTTTGTTTACTTGATGTGGAGCCAGAATTCATGCTGTAATTTCTACCCATTCCTTTTTTATTTGACTTGCAAGAAATTAATTGCAAGCCTGAATTTTTTGGAAAACTATTTGATAATAACAGAAATATATTTGCTTTCTGCACCTAGAAAAAACATCTATAGATAAAGGATAGTAAGAATATATTAATTTTGATTATTGTACAGAAGGTAAAGAGTATACTTACTAAAACCTTTACTGATGATTAATGAAAGCCCCATAGGAAAATTTTCACTTATTAATATTGAATATTGTATTTCTTTAAAGGCACGTGTCTAGTATACTTTTTTTTGGCGGGGGGAGAGGGGAAATGTTCTAATTCCTAGAAGGAACTGAAGTTAATTTTTAGACCAAAGGTTTGGAAATACCCTAATTTGCTATCATGAAAATGATGTCTCTTATGCATGCTTTGCTTTTGAGTTGCTGAATATGTTTCAGAAACTGCTGGAGTTATTTTAGCGATGTAAACTAAACTGATTTTTTCAATAGGAAACATATACCAAGACTGGAGAGGAATAGTGATATCAGATACCACAGTTCCATATACGATGCTCAGCAGTGAAGAACATCAAGCAAGATTAAAACAAATAACAAGAAGGAAAAGGTCCAAGGAGGTATGTAAGATTGCTCCAGTTAGTAAAATGTGTGGAATAGTTTAAGAATTACAGAAAAGAATGATGAATACAGACACCACTTAAGGAAATTCACTCTGTAACTATCTATTTTGCTGTATAACATACTTCATTAGGTCTTAGAATTTATCTTAAAGAAAGAAGAAATCCATATGATCTTACATACATTATTTTAAAATATAGAAATATTTACCATCTAAAAACTATGATTGGATAGAGCTAGGCCCTTCCTAGCAGCAGAATAAAGAAATTTTCAGACCTTAATCTCCAGTAGTTATGGTGTAACAATGTCAAACCATATTAGCCTAGCTTGGTAGGAGTTAATATGTAAACATGGAGGTTTATAGTGGGAAAAAATAGCATTAAGAAAAAATTATGTACAAAAAATGAAGAATACAGAATTCACTAGCTTTCTGGTTGCTGCTATTTGCAAAGTTTAAAGAAGTGGCAATTATTCATGCACTAGTTTAAGTACTTGGTTTAGGTATCTAGTGTACAATGGGAAACATTTCTACCATATTCGTGGAAGGTTGTTTAAAACAGAAATTCTTAATTATAGCAATATACCATTAATAATTTTATTATGTAAATCAGATTGCAGAAATTTATGAAGTTTATGAGTCAGTGTTAAAATAACGACATCTGTATTTAATCATACACAGACCATAAATATTCAGTTAGTTGCAATCAGCTGCAGCTATGATAGCTCTGAGTTGCATCTAGAAATCTCCCTTGGATTATTGATGTGCAGGTATGGCTCCTGTTGTCATTACTGGTCATGTGATGGAATAGAAATGTGATGGAATTTTCTGTGAAGCACATTTTCAGTGATATTATATTATGAATTGTGGTGTGATAATGCACATTGCCCATAATTTTCTATTTCACCTTGGCACTTGTTAATTATCAGAAGTAGTTGTGGTTTCCTAATCTGCGCTAGCTGCAAGGAAGAAAGTTGGTGAGGATGGAATCAATAGCTTTCAGACTTAAAAGAATCATTATGCCTATGAAGGCCATCAAGAGGATAACCAAACATCCATTAACTTAGAAATGGAAGAATTTCTTTTTCTAAAATTTAGCTCTGTATAGCTTAGATTTTTATAGTCCCGAGTAAACTGATTTTCTGTATAGATACTTTCATTCTAATTGGCAGTAAAGGGACTAATCTTTCTGAATCACATCTGGGACAAAATAAATCAATTCCTACTAAGGAGTTAAATGTCTGAAGAACTGAGATTTACAACACTGCCTGTTGTAATCCCCGACATTACTATCTCAAGCCTCTTGCCACCCAAAGGGTTTAGAAAAAAATCTGGGCTAATGAGAAAAAAACAAATTGTTTCTCTCATTTCTGAAAATATAAAAGCAATTATAACTCTTAAGTTGCCTCCATTTGTAGGTGAAGCATCTAAGTTTCTTCCTAATGAAATAAAGAAAAACTAGATAGTCATATTAATTATTTCAGAAATAATAGATGATTGGTTATTAAGTAAAAAAGAAAACTAGGGAGAATCCAGATTGGACAGATTTATTTAAGTTTTGAAGGTAAAATACTCTCAGAAAATAATAATTTCAGCTCCAAGATTTAAGGAATAACTTCCTCATCTTATCTAAAGAAAAAATACCGTAATTTCACAATCTGGTATGGCTTTGGAAAACCAAGTAAAATTTTTCACAATTAACTAATTATTAATACAAAACTCGTTTGTCCAATAGTTTTTTTTCACATTAGCTCAATAATAATTGACGACATGGGTGCTTTTTTCACAAATTCAAACACAGGTAACAAGTGATATTTATTTATTTACTTGTTTGTTCATTAGATTTATTTGCTGCCCATCTTGACTTTGAGGCAAGCTATAAAACCATAAAATATAAATATTTTAAAAACAATAAAATAGAATTACAATCAAAGATAAAATTACAGCTAAAAGATAAGAATGGAGGGAGTATGATGTACAGCGGGGAGGTGGGATTTTCTCTTAATCCATCCACCACGCCCAGCATCACAATCCTTCATTGGGGCCCCAAGCCAGCTGGCAAAGCTAGGTCTTCAGGGGTCAGAAAGTAAGAAGGGTGGGAGCAGCACTCACCTCAGAGGGCAGGATATTCCAAAAGGCAGGAGCTGTAGCAAAAAAGACTCTTCTTCTGGACCCTGCCAGCAGAATTCCTTCACCAATGGCCCCCAGCATGCCTTTTCTGCCAGCATGGGTAGGTGGGCCAGTCTCATTGGGCTGATACAGTTCCTGAGGTAACTTGGACCTAGGCTATGCAGGATTTTCAAGTGGATAACCAACACCTTGAATTGCACCCAGAAGTAAACTGGCAGCCAGTGAGGTTTACAGAACAGTGGTGTAACATGGACCATTCTAGAGCCTCAAGAACTGCCTGTGTTGCTGCACTTTGCACCAGTTGCAGCTTCTGAATGCTCTTTAAGGATAGTCCAAACTTCAGAGGACCAAGGCTTCAGTGACTGAATGCAGGGACTCCTGATCTAGGAAAGGCTGCCACTGGTACTCAACATGAAGTTGTGCAAAGGTTCTCCTAGCTATGACTGCCACTTGCTCTTTGAGCAGGAGTCATGAGTCCAGGAGAACCACCAAGTTGCAGACTGGGTCTGTCTGGGTTAGTGCAACCCCATCCAGAACTAAGGATGTTAAAGTTCCATATCTTGAAGCTCCATGTACCCAAAGCCACTTGGTTTTAACAGCATTCAGTCAAAGCCTTTTGTCTCCCATTCAGCCCCTCCCCCCCAGGCTCCAGGTTCTGTGAAAGGGCAGCAGCAACATCACTTGGATCAATATAAAGTTGAGTATCATCAGTGTACCTCAACCCACAGTGATGGACGATCTCACCCAGCAGCATTATGTAGATGTGAAAAAGGAGTGGGGAGAGTACCAAGCCTTGTGGCATGCCACAAAGAAGCTTTTTTGGCTAGATGTCTCAGTCTCTATTAATACCAGTTGGGATTAGCCTTGGAGAAAGGAGCCAAAAACTGTGCTGCCTAACTCTAAATCCCATAGATGGCCCAAAAGGATAATATAGTCAATGGTATTGAAGGTTGTGGAGAGGTCAAGGAGACCAAGGATGGTTGCACTATCCCCATCCCACTCTTACCAGAGATCATTGACAAATAAGACTGCTAAATCCTAGCATAAATGAATGGTAGTAGATTCACACATACAAACCCACACCATTTGTTAACCTTTCCAGCACCTTGGGCATATCTTATTGCATTCTCATGCATCTCCATCTGCATGATGCAGTTGTTAGACCAGGAGTGGGGAGACTCAGTTCTAAGTCGAACCTCAGCATAGAAACATACTGGATTATTCTGGACAGCTGCTTGCTCTCCTCAAGCTACCACACAGGGTTATTGTGGGAAAAATATTGGAAATAAGTATTGAGAATTGTAATCCAAAACATGTAATATTGTATAATTATATTGCTGTTGCAGAAAGTTATCAGGGAAGAAGTACACTGCACTTTAAAAGTTAAAACATGATGAAAAGGGTACAGGTAGTCCTCGACTTACAACAGTTCATTTAGTGACCGTTCAAAGTTACAATGGCACTGAAAAAAGTGACTTATGACTATTTTTCACACGACTGTTGCAGCATCCCCCTTGGTCATGTGATCAAAATTCAGAAGCTTGGCATCTGACTCATATTTATGATGGTTGCAGTATCCTGGGGGGTCATGTGATCAGCTTTTGCAATCTTTTGACATGCAAACCCAATGGGAAATCTGGATTCTCTTAACAACCATGTTACTAACTTAACAACTGCAATGGTTCACTTAACAACTGTAGAAAGAAAGGTTATGAAATGGGGCAAAACTCATTTAACAAATATCTCACTTAGCAACATATATTTTGGGCTCAATTGTGGCTGTAAGTTAAGTACTACCTGTATTTTGTCCACCTGTATATTAAAAAAAAGATAGTGAACAGATTTTTCCGCCATGAAAGGACATTTCTATTAGTTTATCCTATAATAAATCCACTGGGAACAATCTCCCAGGATTATTCCCAACCGGATAATGGTAGAATTATTTTAATTCTTATTTCCCATGTTGCTTTCTTTGTAAGATAATGTACCTCTATTGTAAGTATTCATACATGTATGATGATACATTTTATTTATTTAGTTATAAAAATTTGAATTTGCATTTAATTATTGAAAATACATCTCAGCTTTTCCAATTCCCAAATCAATAATAGTAGATGCGTTTGGAATTTCAGTTTCTTAAATGTTACTACAACTGCATCAGTGTGAACACTTGTAATGGGGATTTCCATTTCCCTGGGGGGGGGGGGAAATCAGAATATTGCATTCTATTAATGCATAATTTGAAAAGCACTTACCAATGCTGTGATATTTAATTAAGTGAGTTATCTAATTTAGAGTGGATAGTTAACTTTGAGTGCTTAAGCAATTGTTTAAAAAAGCTCAGTTTAAAAGATAACTGCATATCTCCTGTTTAAAAAAAAAAGTTCATATACTGAACTTTGCTATTAGCCATTTAAAGGGTTTATCTCTTGAATGGTAATCTTCTGACTGATACCTGAAAATGGGACCTAATCATTCAGACCTAAAAAACTATTCTCTAAGGTTTATTTAGATAAGTGCTGTGCATAGCTTTGTTTCGAATAAGCTCCAAATGGAGTAAATGATTGATAATATAGTATATACTTGGATCATATTCTATTTTTGCCATTATTGCATATAAAACCTTAAAAAGTGCTGCTGCAATAGTTTTTTCATTTCTTGTTTAATTTCTGGTAATACTTCCTAATATTTTGTCTTAAGCATGTGCAGTTAAATATTTCTTTGGCATTTTAAACTGTGGAGACAGAAAGACGCAGAAAGACGCAGTTAGAGTCTTCTTGTGAGGACCATATATGTTACTGAATAATTTTGGAATTACCTGAAGATTAAACAAAGTTATTGTGAAAAATTGCAACCCATTTCTTCTTTGCTCTTTCTATTCTAAAAGAGACACAAGGAGTTTGTTAGCTATGGAAATAACTATTTAAAACATGTCTGACTCATCAGTTTAATTCCACATTTTCCTTAAAATAGAGAGTTAGGAATTACATTTCCTACCACACTTTGAACATTTAGCTTTAAAGATAGGATTGGTCTTCAGATAAGGGCCAGCAAAGTAGAGCAAGAGGTGGGTTTTCTTTTCCACTCTATTGGTTATCATACCCCGAACACATACTTGCCAGTAAGCTAGAAATCCTCAATATAGCAGTGCTAATGATAAAAATAACAATAATAATGAAAATGAAAAATAAATTCAATAGTATCACTTCCTGCCTAGTATTACATTTAACAGCACTTTTTCCCTTAGATGTTGCTGCTGCAAACTGACAAAACGGAAAAACAACAGCATGGTTCACATAAAGAAGAAAGGAAGACTCCCAGGTATTATTTGTGAAAAACAGTATGCTTTATTACTAGTTTATTCCCCCAACTTTTTAATTTGCAAAGCAAAGATGTATATGAAGATGTACAATGTGATTTAATTCAGCTGTTTACATAATACAGTAAATTTTGTGTTGTACATTTTTATTTTCTTCATTCAATTGTGAATGAATTCTTGGCTGGGTCCCTGCAATTTTCTTGGTAAGGTTTTTCAGAAGTGGTTTGTCCTTACCTCCTTCCTAGGTTGGGAGAAAGTGATTGGCTGAGGTCATCCAGCTGGCTTTGTGCCTAAGATGGGATTAGAAGTGGGCTCCTGATTTTAGCCTGATACCTTAACCACTACACTAAACTGGCTCTACATATGCAGCACAAAAATACTAAAAGAAAGCGATGCAGAAGATCAAGATCTGTTTAATGCTATCACAGAATGTAAAAGTAAAGGTAAAGATTTTCCCTATCCAGTTGTGTCTGACTTTAGAGGGTGGTGCTTATTTCTTAGCCGAGGGAACTAGCATTATCCGAGGACACTTTCGTGGTCATGTGACCGGCATGACTCTACACCGAGGGACATTGAATTCTGCTATCTTCCCACTGAAGTGGCACCTATTTATCTACTAGCATTTGCATGCTTTCAAAGTACTAGCTTGGCAGGAGCTGGGGCAGGAACAGGAGCTCACCCTTATTGCATGGTGCTTTGGTCTCAAACTGCCAACCTTCTGGTCAACAAGCCCAGCATCTTAACTGCTAGGCCACCATGTCCCCATCACAGAATGTAGGGCATAGAATAATGGATGAGTTATAACAAGACAGATTCCTTTGAAGATAAATTTCTTACATCGAATTTGATAGTAGAGACAATTATCTAGAGAGCTCTGGATTCTTATTCTTCCCTGATGTATTTAGTGAGAGATTGGATGGGGACAGCCATCTGCCACAAACAATTTAATTTTAATTCCTGCATGAAGCAGCGGATTGGACTTGATGGCCTCTGTGCCTCTTCCAATTCTACAATTCTATGAAAACTGTTCCATCTGCTAAGTGACAATCCCTCAGATAGTTAAAGGCAGCATTCATATTTCCCATTAACCTTCTTCCCCCCTAAATATGTCCAATTTTATTTTTCACAGATTTAGGTTTTGGACTCGTTATCAGATTGGATGCTCTCTAGATTGCTGATATCCTTCAAAATCTCTTGTCCAGAATTAGTAATAGTAATAGTAGTAAAGTTGGAAGGGACCTTGGAGGTCATCTAGTCCAACCCCCAGCTCAGGCAGGAAACCCTACACCATTTCGGACGAATGGCTGTCCAGTCTCTTCTTAAAAACTTCCAGTGTTGGAGCATTTACTGCTTCTGGAGGCAGGCTGTTCCACTGATTAATTGTTCTCACTGTCAGGAAGTTTCTCCTTAGTTCTAGGTTGCTTCTCTCCTTGATTAGTTTCCACCCGTTGCTTCTTGTCCTGCCTTCAGGTGCTTTGGAAAATAGCTTAATTCCCTCTTCTTTATGGCAGCCCCTGAGATATTGGAATACTGCTATCATGTCCCCCCTTGTCCTTCTCTTCGTTAAACTAGACATACCCAATTCTAGCAACCGTTCCTTATATGTTTTAGCCTCCAGTCCCCTAATCATCTTTGTTGCTCTTCTCTGTACTCTCTCTAGAGTCTCAACATCTTTTTTACATCGTGGTGACCAAAACTGGATGCAGTATTCCAAGTGTGGCCTTACCAAGGCATTGAAGAGTGGTATTAATACTTCACGTGATCTTGATTCTATCCCTCTGTTAATGCAGCCTAGCACTGTGTTGGCCTTTTTGGCAGCTGCAGCACACTGCTGGCTCATATTTAGGTGATTATCTACTAGGACTCCGAGGTCCTTCTCACAGTTACTACTATTGAGCATGGTGCCACCTATGCTGTACTTGTGCATTTGGTTTTTCTTGCCTAAATATAGAACCTTGCTTTTTTCACTCAGTCCTCCAAAAGAATATAATATAATATAAAGATGAAATAATATAACACAGTTGTATCTCAGTACTCTTTGTTAAATGTTTCCAGGAGGCACAATAAGTACCAAAAAGATGAGTACCAAACAAATTTTTCCCATAAGGAATAATATAGTGGGTCACAAGGCAGCTGGCATAGACAAGTTCTAGCTTGTGCATTGAACACCAAACAAACGAGTACCGGGACAAAATTTTCACATCAAAGTGCATTAAGTACTAAATTCAATGAGTTTCAAAGCAGTTGAGTACCAAGGTATCACTGTATATTACAATATAAAATATATTAAAAAACTATATCCTGCTGTGCTGCTTACATTGCGTAACATGCTAAATCTTGTAATGTAGCATAACATTGTAGTGTTATTTTAGCAGCTGATCACTGTGGAACAGACATATAATAGTATGTTAAACAGTATCCTTTAATAAAAGATACAGTAGCTATCTAAAATTCCCATTAGGTGCTAAAGATGCTGTTCAATACCTTTCTTTGTATCATGGGCACAATTCAACTATAAATCCTTCACACCTGACTGCTTTTGTTAAGATGGAGGCCTGCCCAGTCCCAAGCATGATACTTAAACACAATGCTAAGTGTTATGTGGTTTCTGTATAATCCACTTAAGCTGTCAAAAGTAAGGTTCATATGTTATATTAAGCCAAACCACATCAATTCACCTGATGGCATATATTATTTATGGATTGTGTCAATATATAGTTTAGCCTTAGGATAATGAGTTTCTTAAATTAATTTATATTGGATTTGATCATGTTGGCTGAGATGTATTGGACAACTATTCTGTATATGGCAGCTCTAGCCAGCTTGTCCATATTGATTGGAGATATTGTAGAGGAAGAGCTGGATCAGCTTAGGGTAGCCAAAATCAGAATGTGTCTGACAGCATCTTTTCAGACAAATACATTTCATTAAAAGGCATAAGGTTTTGTGAATTGCAGCTCATTCTGTCAGCTGAATGGATGGCAAAACTGATGTAACATTTAAACTGAGATAAAATGGAGAGGGGAAAAAAGAGGGGAAATCAGTGATTATGCAGATGCAAATTACATGTAAGACAAATTGTAAGTATATTATTAATTAACAAATGTAACATGTTCAAATCAAATCAGTTTTTTATTATGGCCATAGACCAGCATATGCAATGTATTAAAAACCCACTATGTTTGCTGAGACTTCTGAGATGTTGAAAGCTTTTGATATATGTGAATTCAGCAGTCTCTCATTTAATTTTGCTGGTAAAGTTTCTTTGTTTCAAATAGCTACTTTGAGATTTGTAGTGGTGTCCTAGGATGTTAAAATACTCTGATATGAATTTGACCTTGTTTTGAGTCCTGATGTCAAACTTGTCCATTAATTATTTTGTGCAAAGTCTGATCTGTTTGTCCTACAGAAAATTCAGAGGGCACTGCTGACAAATGATGGCATACATCACGTTAGGGAAGACTATGGGAAAGCGCTTCTAAACTTAGTGTGAAATTCTCAAGGCCTGTGATGATGCTGTTGGTATAAACATGATGCAAAATAGATATCTGGTTTTGTTTCAAAGTCCCATATTAGTATTATTGTTGTATTGTTTTTCTTTTGTGGTTTGTTCATATGTGGCTGAACATATGAAACTGTGGGTCTGTTAGCATGAGCGTGAGAAAGTGCAGTGTCATAATCCAGGATAGGTTATAGTTTGCAGATAGTCCTTGCTATGTGGCCATAATTGGGACAGAATTTTTTTATTGCTAAGCAAGGTGGTTGTTAAGTGAGATGCCCAATTTTACAAACATTTTTGCCATGGTTGTTAAGTTAATCATTTCTGTTGTTACATGAATCACGCTGTCATTAACAAATCTGGTTTCCCACACTGACTTTGCTTGTCAGAAGCTGGGTGGGAAGGTCACTAATGGCGATTACAAGACTCTGGGACCCCACAACCATTGTAAATATATGCTCGTTGCCAAGTATCTGATTTTTGATCATGTGATTGTGGAGTTGCTGTGATAGTCATAATTGTGATGACTGGTTGTAAGTCAGTTTTTTCAGTTTCATTGTAACTTCAAATGGTCGCTGAATGAATGGTGGTAACTCATTGACTACCTGTAGTAATAATGTGTTGAGTGGCTTGAGTTGTGAGCTCTAGGTGACAACCACTGGTTACTAAGGCATGAATGATCATGGGCAATGCCTTCTGATATAAGAAAAGCTGCAACTGTCTGCCACCTGCTCCTTAAACTGGACCTTGAGCACGAGGACCCCCAGACTGAACACCAACTGGGACAGTGTAACCCCAGCCAGAGTTAAAAACGGAAAATCACCAAGTGCAGCCCCTCAGTTTTGTCAGGTTGAAGTGATACCAGTACATCTTCTAGATACTGGGAAAGCATCTTTACAACATCACTAGGATGGCCCAAAGCAAAAAAGTATCATTATCATATTGCTGATACTTGACCTCATGCTATCAGAAGATCTCATGTAATGGTTTTATGTATATGTTAAATAGGAGTGGGGAAATTGCTGAGCCCTGTGATAGCTCTCACAAACACTGATTGGAACTGGCCTTGTAGGAAAGAGAAGAACTACTGAAGAATCATGATTCCCACTCCCAACTTCCACAGCTGGTCTGAAGAATACCAAGTTCAATAGTACCACAAGGTGCTGAGAGATATCCTATCCCCATTCTGAGCACAGTCATTTACAAGTATGATCAATGCCATTTTGCTATACAATATATGACTTGACTTGAAACTTGTTTTAACAGGTCCAGATAACTGACCTTCTCCAGACCCCTTTGAAGCTACAGGTCTATCATATTTTCAACAACAACATTCTTTAAAAAGGGGACATTGGAGAACTAGATGAGACTTAGCCATTTGTTAAAAATATCTGAATGGAATCAGTTTGCCAATTGTGAAATATTCACTTTCAGCACCTGTATTTTAATTCCCCTGAATTGAAGAAGGCTGGGACTGAGGACAGGGGTCATAATCATAAAATAATATTAGAATCCAAATCCCCATATTTTTTAAAATATGCAATGTAACGTTTTAATGAATCTCAGCTAAAGGACACTGGAAGAGGGGACAAGAGAAGACAGATACCAGATGTATGAACTTTATGAAAATCTGGCAGTCCTCATGATCTTATTATAAAAGGCTGGATTACCTAGGAGAAGCAAGAAAGATATATAACATATGTTTCATGGACTCCCCCATCCCTTCAATATCTATTTCAGTCTTACTGCTCTGAATATTGCATTATATTTAGCACAAATGTATATGCATTTTTTTACTATCTTACTGCAGTTCATAAATAAATCACCTATTATCTGTTTGAGATCTCTAACAGTTTGCTGCTAATCCTCAATGGATTAATATGCTTTCAGTGATAATCCTTTCATCTGTTGAAGTTCAAAGATACTTAATCACTAAAGTTAATGCTTCATAGAATTTCCAGTAAAATGGTACCATCTTCCATCTTTAATAGAACAATATAAATATTCTATGCCATTTGTCTGGCTCTTAATAGCTGTACATCTCAGCAAATGACAACTTGTTCCATGTGTAGTCATAACATTCATATCAAGAGGGTTTTTCTTTTACTTTTTTTAGAATAATGGGCAGCATATTTATAGCCAGCCATTACCTAGTATATCTACTATTAAAGTTATGAGCAGCAGGGAAGTGAAACACATAGAAGAGAATATTTGTAGCTCAGGGTTGAACTGTGGGGTCCTTGGTGCTCCCTGATCTTGGATGTTTTCTTTCAGAAGTTTCATTACTAAAGTAGGCCACATCAGTGATAGCAGGGAGTCAATTTTTTATGCATCCAAATTCATGTTCTGCCCCTGTTGTCCATTATCTTGAAGCCACTTTTGAAAAAAGAAAGAGGCAGCAAAAGAAAAAAATTAAAAAATTGTGAATAGGCCATCAAAGTAGGGTATTATGGTCTTATGGTATCAGTGGAAATAACAAATTCTGCTTCAAGGTCACTATGCATTATGCAGCTGGCACTTGGTTCTGTTGATTAGTACTTCAGCCAAAGGCAAATTGCCATTACACAAGAACTACATTTGAGCAGAATAAGAAATTTGGACATGTTAGGGGAAATAGAATACCTACTTTGAGATAATTTAAATTGGTAGGGGATTGGGTTCAGAAGAAGCATACATCTGATTTTGAACTTGGCAACTTTTTCGGTTGGTTTAGACACATATTTTCAACTCAGAAGCAATTTGGCTTTTAAAACAGCCAAAATAAATTTCCCTTTAATCACTTCCAACCTGTTAGCAGATGGGTAAACAGCTTTTTTATAACTGGGGCAAACAAAATACTTTAGTATCAGCCAGGAATAATTAAAGGCAATAGATAAATCAAAGTATATAATTCAAGATAGATAGATAGATAGATAGATAGATAGATAGATAGATAGATAGATAGATAGATAGATAGATAGACAGACAGACAGACAGACAGAAAGACAGACAGACAGACACTCAGTGGTGGGATTTAGCCAGTTTGCACCACTTTGGCAGAACCGGTAGCTAATTTTTTGTTGCCCTGGCCCAGAATGGACTTCCGGAAGCGGCATCCATACAGAGAACCAATTGTTCACATATTTGAATCCCACCACTGCATATACTGTGTTTATATATGTACATATATCCGTATTACAAGAGCAGTATCACAGTGATTACCCCCTAGTTAATGAGCTGTAACATTTGGAAAAAAGATTTGTTTTGCCAGTGGAATAAGAAACATAGCAGTGAAATACAGTAACTAATGTATAAGAAGACTATATTGGCAAATATGTATCCATAGATTAATTTATTTGTTGAGTGTGGATGGAACGTAGGCTGCACATAGAGCACAGTTATGTTGTGCCTATCAATCTCAAGATTCCTGCAGTAGTAATCTTGACTCCTATTTATTCAAATGAAGAGTGAGCATATATTGGAAAGGTTTTACATTTGAAACATTTTGGTGTGGAATAGATTGTTCCAAGATTACTAGAATTTCAAAGCTTGAAACTGATTTGTGATAAGGATAGATAAGCTTTATTTTTTTGTTTAACCAATTTATATGACCAAAGTATATACTTGGATACAGAATAAACAGTAATAAGCAATAAAAAACATGTAATGAAACAAAGTGATAATGATTATGTTATCCATTCAGTTGTGTCTGCATCTTCGCAATTCTATGGGCCAGGTCTCTCCAAAATTTCTGATTTTTGAGTTTTTCCATGTTGTGGCTTGTGTCAGCTTTGATGGTATCCAGCTTTATGTTCTTTGATGGCCTGGTTTCCTTTTACATTAACTCGTCCAACATAATTGCTTTCTCCAGTAAATTTCCCCGCATGACATGGCCCAAGTAATTGAGACGCAGTTTCATGATTTTGCCTTCTAGTGATGTCTGGTATTATGTGCTCTAGCACTTGCTTGTTAGTCACCTTTACTGTCCAAGGAATATGTAGGATCCTTCTCCACCACCACAGCACAAATGAGTCAGTTTTCTTCCTGTCTTGCTTTTTTAAGGTCCAGTTTTCACAACCATAGGTAGTTATGGGGAACACAAGAAAGCAGATTAACCTACATTAGGTTGCCAGGCTGATATCCTTGCTTTTCCATATTTGGCTCATGTTATCATTGCTATACTGCTCAGTGCAATCCAATGTTTTATTCTGTGCTGCATGCACAGCTTTGAACTCTCTGCAATTCTAGGAAAGTGAATTTTTCTTCACTGTCAGTTCTGAATGTTTTCATTCCTTGCAGTGGTCATGAGCTTGCTCTTTTTGATGTTCAGAAAGAGACCAAAATTCTCGCTTTCTTCTTTGATTTTCTTGATCAGATGTTCCAGGCCTTCTTTGGTTTCTGAAAGAAAAGTTATATTATTATTAGCATATTGAAGACTGTTGATGTTTCTTCCACCAATCTTTACCATAATTTTTGATTCTTCAAGATTTAGCTTCCTCACGATCATTTTGATATATAGATTGAATAAGAAAGGGGAGAGAATGCAACCCTGCCCACTCCTTTCTCTATCTTAAAATGAAACAAAGTAGAAAAGCATAACTGAGAACAACAACATGCAAACAAACGGGGGAAATGTTACTCTGTGAGCTGCCAGTCTGTCTCTTCTACAACACAATTTAAATATGTGAATGTATATATTAGCAAGCATTCACTAAAAAGTGAATGACTACACACAGCATCAAAATTATTGAGGAATTATTCATGAACTCATATAAGTCACATTAATTGGTAAATATTTGAGATGTTGATAACAAAAGCATATTTCATCAGCTTTAACTAGATTGCTTGGAAGCAAATTAGTATAAATTGTACTTCTATTTTTAATTATGACTTTGAGTTGATACAGTTATTTAAAATATTTATATTCTCACTGCAATGCAAAACATCTTCATATGGTATACAACATTAAAATTTAAATGTAATAGGATTTATAATAATGTAATAAAACATAGAAATATGACCTCATTGAAATATAGAATCGGGCAAATTTCAGCAGTGTGGTGAAATAAATATTGAAAGTTTGTCAAACAATGAAACCTCCAAAATTTTCAGTGTAACCCACTCCCTGAAACTCAGAAATTATGCCCTTAAATCAAATTGTTTCTGTTTCATTTCAACAAAACATTTGGAATTATAAGACAAAACAAATGGTAAATGAAAGCAATATTACCGATTAGCTTGATTATAATTAAAAATAATAAAATAATAATGGTGATGAAGTTAACAATAGTGATATAAATAGGTTTAGTTATGATGATAATTGGCTTCAGAAAACATTTGTAATACTATGTTTTTTTGTCCAACTTATTTTGAACTTGTCCCTGCCATTATGGCTTCCAAAATAATATTGAACGGAACGTTCAGACCTAGAAAAATGTATGTATATATACTTTTCCTTGCTTTCAATAATCTCTTTTTCTATCTGTTCCAAAGAACAGGTTAAACCAATAAATCAATTGGTTATGTTTCCGTTGCTGTTTGCCTTAGCCAGATGCATTTTATTCAGAAACAAACTTCAATGTTCCTTACAAATATCTTTCTTTTGCACAATATTCCTTAATCTATCTGAACTCTCACACTGCTGTTTTTCTCAGAAAATTTATGACACTTCATATATCCATAAAGAAATGTGAGGCACTTTTAAAGAAATATGAGTTTAAACTCGTGAGATTTAATGTGTGAAGCTCTGTTTTACAGTTTCTATGCAGTATGGCAGGTATTCTTCTGAAGCATTTAACATAGTTATAATTTTTATTTCAGTGTGCTGAACCCCAAAATCAACTGGAACCATTTGTATTTTCTAATGCTAGTATTAGAGAGAAAAAGGGGAGAATAACACTGCATTGTTTTGAATGCCTTTTTGGATTTCAGCCACAGGTTGGATAGCAATATTGCTTCATATTCTCCACTTCCAGAAATTTCCATTCTTTTATATTGAAATGTTTAATTATCCATTATTTCCATGTTTATTGCAATTGATTCTAAGCACTGTATTTAGTTTAAAGCAAAGCCTTCCTAATTTCCTCCCTTTCTTCCCCTCTCCTCTCCTCCCCTTCCCTAGAAGACGAAAACATCTTAATATAATTAATGAGAAAGTGAAAAGGATTGGGCCACATTTAGACATATTTGAAGCTTTTAATAAAGCCCGAAAAAATCATACACTGGAAAAAATTGCTTCAGCTGCCACCTGTATTCAGAAACTTTTCAAAGGATGGTTTGAACGTAGTAAATTTAACAGAATAAAAATGAAGGTAATGTATTTGAATTTCATTAATATGAGATATTGTGATATACTATAATGGATTTTATCTCTGACATGTTTGCGTTACTGTAGTTAGTACCTTGTCCAGCTTCAATAGTAATGTTTTACATAAAATAACATTAGTCTCAAAATTTGAAAGGTGCGGAGTTGACTTATACAAGAAATAATCCCTATGATCATCTGAATACCCAATGATTGTTTAGAGCCCATGCTAGAGAGTACTGGGCTATTTGGACAAATAGTCTGGTCTATTAAAAGGGCAGCTTTCTATTTAGCAGAAAAATATATTGTCTGCAGTCTCAAACTCAATATGGACTTCATTTTACCTATCATCAAGTTGTTATACACAACAACCTATATCTTGTTTCAACCATTCTATGATTGTCCTGGCTTTTTTTGTCTTCTGGCTAATTTTGCATTGTAGCCATATCTTTTTTTGTATGAAAAACTAGTATTTTCTGCCCCCAAAATGCTTTTTTCTCCCAAAAAGGCAACTGGGCTTTGTTTTTCCTTGAAGTTATTTTGCTTCTCATCTAAGAGCTTTTCAGTTCTGACTGAATGGTGGAGAATAGAAGAATTTATATTCCTTACAGTCATCTGGTTGTTAGCCCTCGTTCTGAGAGTTGTTGAGGCAGGCCCCTTGGAGGTTTCTCTATGCCATCAGGGTCACCTGAATAATGCAAATGGGCGTGGAATCTTCTTGGAAGTACTGAAAGGACTGTGTTGCAAACAGTAGATAGACCTGATTACATCTCTTCCCTTCTGTCGAGAGAGGGTTGTTCAGTTTTAACATAGATGCCCTCGTTGACTCCTTTTTCAAACCAGTGGTCCTCTCTGCCAGAATGTGGGCTTTTCTGTCTTCAGAAGAGTGGCCTTGGTCTTTTAAATGATGGATTGCTGAATCTTGTCCTGATGAGTTTGTTCTCTTATGTTGTGCCATATGTTTATGAATGGTTGTTTTGTTTCTCCAGTGAACATATCTGCACATGACTCACTGCATTGTACTGCAGATATCATATTGCTCAGTTTGTATCTGGGTGTTTTATACTTGGGGCCGACAAGCTTCTGCCTTAGTATATTCTTGGGTTTAAAGGGTGCATATATTTTGTGTTGGTGTAAAATCCTCCTGAACTATTCTGATATTCCTACAATCAGTAGTGGGATTCAGCCGGTTTGCACCACTTTGGCAGAACCGGTAGCTAATTTTTTGTTGCCCAGGCCCAGAATGGACTTCCAGAAGTGGCATCCAGACAGAGAACTAGTTGTTCACATATCTGAACCCCACCACTTCCTACAATGTGTGGAATGACAACATTGCTTTGTTTATAGTTCTCTTCTTTGTCTTTTATAGAGAAGCTACTGCTGGGACTTTTTTTTGGATTTGATGAAGGCCCAGTTGGGACAGTCACATGTTCTGAGGGCTTCCTTGATGTGTTTTAGTTCTTTTTCTGTTCCATCTTTGCTGGTAGGCAGACCTTTAGCCCAGTGATGTAGGGTTCTGATCACTTCAAGGAAAACCAAAATCCAGTTGCCTTTTGTAAAAAAAAAAAAAAAAAAGCATCTTTGGGACATATGAGAATCTCATAGACATCTAGTATTTTCTGCTACCAGGTTTTTATCATTTCCATATATAAAACTTCAGCAGACTTAGATTTTTGCTATAAAATCTTTTGGTCTCTAGTGTGAAAATGCAATATTACAAGGGATTTTTATTTTGTTTTTTTATGGCAATCTCTGGAAAGTTTTCTTATTTTACGCCCCTATAATTTTTTACCCTGTAAATGTTGTTTCTCCAATACCACTTTACATGTATGTATGTATGTATGTATGTATGCACGCACACACACACACACACACATACATATATTTGTAATATACAGGCTAAGAACCATGGACCAAATATATTAGCTGTTATAAAGGAGTATCGTAAAATGATGTTTCGAATTAAACGCCGTTGTGGCATCTTGGATACAAGTACACCACTAATATTTGAACAACTGGAAGACTGGCTTGACAATAAAATGCGTACGTATTTCTCAGAATAATCTTTTGAGATTATTCTTACCATATCTTTGCTAATTATTTCAAAAACTATTCAATATCTTCAACTGAGGTGGCTTGCATTATCTCAAAGGTATTGTCTTTTTTTTTAGCAGAATTAGTAATATACAGTAAATGAGATCTTTTGGGAGAGACACCATAGTTTAGTGATAGAGCACACATTTTCCCTGCAGGAACCCCAAATGCAATTTGTATAATTTTCACTTAAATGTATCATGTGATTAACTGTTAGATCCTGGGCAGTAAGGATATATCTTGGCAAAATACTATTACTACGTTTCTGAGCACTGAGTTGCAAAGCTGTATGTTCTGGCATAGCACTTTATGTTGCTAGCAGCTTTCTTTGTTTCAGTGCAGATCTCTGGTCTAAAATACCATACCCAACAAAAAGCAAGCAAATAAACAAACGAGAAAGAAGCATGCTAAAATGCTTTATCTTTTCCCCTTCTTGTACTTCCTCATCTGAGAAACTTTAGTTGAATTCCAAAAACAACATGGGGAAAGTACTGACAGGAGTTGGAAATGGCAAGTTGTAAACAAGAAGTGGCAAAAAGCTAGTTAGCATCCACTTCTGTCTCAATGTCTTCATTCAGAATTTCATGCCCTATTTGGCAAGATTCTAAGTCATTAGTATATCATACTCGACTCACTACAATATTAACTGAGCCTAAGTTTAAACTTTATTCCTCTGATTTGGAAGCTAATGCCAAACAACCTTTCTAAGGTGTTGTGCCCATGTAATTGAAGAACTGATAGTGGATATATCTTGTAAAATAATCACGATCTCACACAATAGAAAAAGAGATCTTACAAGATACATTTAGTAGAACTGTGCACATTTTGAAAAAGTTAGGAGTAAATATGTCAGCACAACAGGTGTCAGTGGCTCTACTGCTTAAAGAAGGGTGTAATTTCAGACCCACATGGAAGCAAGAAAAAGCATTGGACTATTTAATTCAGAGGTATTCTGCTCAGATCAGGTCCAAAGCATGTCTAAAGGATGTGGACTGTACATTTGGATCAAATGGTAAAGCAACTATTTATTATGTTTTTAAAAGTTAAAATATAATACATATAAATATTATTTAGGTCCTATGAAATAGTTTTAGTGACTTAATCAATAATCTTTCATAGTGATCATACCAGCACTTTTCTTGATTATATTACGCACAATATATAAGAATTCTACAATACAGTTATGCAAAAATAGATGAAGATAATAGTTATCAATTTGTATCAACATATGAATGCTAATAGAAAGCTAGAAGATATGCTGATAGAATCCGTGGTAGGATTCCATTTATTAAAGATGGTTCTAATTTATGGAAATAGGCACAGTTCAGCCTTATTATTTATGTGGCTATCTTATGTTTTTTTCTCGTGTATAGTAAAAACAAATCTTATATCTGTTTTGCAAATAGATTTGAAAATATCAGTTACCCTTTCAGATTTCCTGATTGATGATGTTAAGAATATTATAAAGTGTACAAGATAAATAGTGGGATAAGGAAAGGTACAACTTTACTTGTAATTTTAGTTGTTAAGGTTAATGTTATACAATGATATTATAGTCATATATATTGATTTATAGTTAGAAGTATTATATATATTCTTTATGCAAAAATGGAGAAATATTCAAGTTATAAAAATGACAAGTACTGTAACTACAAATAAGTTAGCAAAAAAACAGTTACAAATCCCACAAATACAATGGCCTCTCCTTCAGGCCAAAGAATCATGTTGGGGAAAGAAAAAGTAGAATTGGCAATGAACCCACAGAGTTTGCAGATAACACTACAAACGATTCAAGAAACAATGATGATGACCCAAGAGGCAATAGCAAATAATCATGAAGAAATGAAAATACATCATAAAGAAATTAAGAATGATATTGGAAAAATGAGAGATGAAAATAAAAATATGAATGATAAGATAGGTAATATACAACAAACAATGATGGAAAATGAACAAAGAATTCAAAAAGTTGAAACAAAAATGGAGCTTGTTGATAGTAAAATAGAAGGGATGATACAGAAATCTGATCAAGCAAATAGGGAGTTGACTGAATCTATTGCTTTTCTGGAAATGAACAAAGTTTCGTTTTGTTTAAGATTTCAAAATATTGTTGAGGAAAAGGAGGAAGATTTGGGAGAAAAGATGGCAGAGATTTTGGCAGTGATTTTAGGCAAAGAAAAATTGGAAGTAAAAAGAGACATGGATGAAACATATAGAGTATACACAAATTATGCACGAAGGCATAGATTGGTGAGAGAAGTTCATATAAGGTTTACTAGAAGATCAGTAAGGGATGAAATATATATAAAAACAAGAGACGACTCAATAATGTATAAGGGTAAAGAAATAATTGTATTAAAACAAATACCACGTAGCATACGAAATCAGAGACGAGAATACCAATTTTTAACGACTCAATTAATTAAATATAAAGTCAAGTTTCGTTGGTTAATACCTGAAGGCATACTTTTAACTTGGCAGGAGAAAAAAATACAAGATAGATACACTTGAGAAAGCACAGGACTTTTATGAGAGTTACTTTTCACAAGGAGAAGAACAAGAAAGTAGGGAAGAGCCGGAGAGTAAAAGTTATGATGAAGATCTATTAGAGGAAGTTGATCGAGAGCAAGAAATACAAAAGTTACAAGAAAGAGAAAGGTTAGAAAGAGAAGCAAAAGGAAGACTTATAGAGACAAGAAGTATAAAACAAAATAAAAACAAAAAAATAGATCAAATTAAAAATGGGAGATGTAATTAAGCTCTTTTCTATAAAAATGGATTCAATATATCAAGAAAAAGAGTTTAGATGTTTAACAATTTATGTAGATGTGATGTATCTTTAGGAAGTTTGCATAAAATAGGATTATAGAAAATTACTAGAGAAAGTAAAATTTAGAAAATTTAGAAACATTATACACAATATTAGCATAAAACAAGAAAGGAGGAATTATTATATATGTCAAAGAAAAATAAAATTAAATAAATATACTTGGATGAAAAGGGGTGAATTTTAATGTTGGAAATAGTATTAGAGTAAAAACAGTATATGCACTAAATAATATGAGAATATTTGTATGATCACCATGCTTAGATGGAATTCCGGTCGAGTCTTATAAAAAATATGAGTGTTACTACAATGAATAATGTTGGATTCCTAGTAAGTAGTAGAATATGAAAGAAGGAAAATGTAAATAAGAAACAATGGGGCAATAAGGACAAATATTTCAAAGAAGAAAGAAGGGGGAAATGTAAAGAATGGAAGAGTACTGTTACAAACTGCTGTTAACAAAAAAGGATATATTACGTGGGTATGTGTGTAATGTTTGTTGTGTTGTGTTTTGTTTTGTTTTGTTGGTCTAAAATTAAAACAAAACAAAACAAAACAAAAAAACAGATTTCCTGATTGATGAAATCCAAAATTTTGCAACACAAAATTTCAGGTTGAGAATTCCTATTATAACTGTAAATGTGTAGCAGGAAAACTTACCAAGAAGAACAATTTTCATATGTGTGTTATTCCTGAAATTGGTTTAATAACTCTTTCATTAAGGATGATTATTTGGAAGAAATCGTGATTCAGTCTCAAATATTTGAGATTGTTTTTACAGAATCATGATTTCCAGTTGGATATGGGGACACACACACACACACACACTTCTACTTAGATATGATACAGAGACAGAACAAATAAAAGCATGTATGATAAATTGATGCAAAACTTCAAACAATCCTAATGCAACAACAAAATGAGTCTTTTTGATCTATTTTGTCTCCTAGTTTATGAAACTATATTTGAAAAGAAAGAGTCCTGGAAAGAAATGGATAGAAAGGAGCTCCCTAGGTTTTTCAGAGACTGTGGCCGGTTTCCTACAGAAAAGGAAATTAATATTGCAACAACTCTCCTATTGCATGGTAAGAGATTTGTACACTAGTTTATAGATTGTGTAGAAATATAGCAAAAGGTATTTTAGGCAAATTATATTTTGAAAGCATGCTTCATTTTTAGTTAATACAAATAAAGAAAAAAGTGTTGTATTTATTTAGTATTTAGAGTTTACTTATTTGAGGAAGTTGTGGATAAAAACTACTCTCACTCAAGTGACAGCTCCTTAAGCACCATAGTTATTTTTAAAACTTTTACCATTTTGATATTTTCGTCTTACTCTTCAACACATTATCAGGGCATCTTACATGAGGTGCAAAATAAAAACATATATGAACAAGATCCAGATCTTCAAGAGCTGAAATATGAGAATTTTGGAAGCGTTCCTAAATGTATTTGCATATTTTTCTGTGCCACAAACAGAAGGGGACTATTGCACCTTTTCTTTTGATGAGACCTTGAGTAGAAGTTGCTGATTTATTCCCTTCCATGGCTATGCAATCCTCTGTTTATAAAATGTAGAACACTTTACAATGTAGTATTGTTATGCAAGATCAATTAAATGTGCTTTCATTAGCCTTATTCAAGCGTGGAATGTTTTAGTCATTTATTTCAATTTCACATTTACTGTATTTTGTACTTATTTATACATTTCTGTTTATTTACAAACTTATAGATGGTTGATATATAAAAATGCTACAGACTTGGGAAAAAATAAAACAAAAACATTATATAAGAATTCAATGTGGTTATCTCCAACGGAAGCTCTGAAACACCCAAATCTACTGGATATAAATAAGATAATTAGATATAAGGAATTAGTAAATGAACAGGGAAATCTGAAAACAAAACAAGAATTGGAACAAGATATAGGCAGAGAGATTGACTGTTGGACATTTACACACATTCAATCTAAATATACAGAGGACAAAAAATTATATGAAATACAAAAAGAGTCGCAAGAATTGGATAAAATTATACATGGAACAGAAATAAAATTAATTAGTAATTTATACAAATACCTATTGAGATATAAAATGGAAGACGAGGTTGTCAAAGACACAATGATTAGATGGGCAAAAAATTTCGGATATAATATAGAATTGGAGAAATGGGAAAAAACATGGGAAATAAACATAAAATTGACTATGTCAGCGGCATTCAAGGAAAACCAGTTGAAGATGTTTTACAGATGGCATCTTCCACCAGCAAAGCTTGCCAAGATATTCCAGAACAATTTGCCAACATGTTGGAAATGTAAAAATGTACATGGAACATATTATCATTTATGGTGGACATGCCCAGTGGCAAAAAAATACTGGACTAAAATAAGATGGATTGAAGAAATAATAGACCAACTCGTAGACTGGAAACTAGAGATCTTTTTGCTGGGTATTTTAAACAGAAAATGTAGTCAAGAAATACGGTACTTAATTCTACATATAACAATGGCAGCAAGAATAGCATATGCACAGTTCTGGAAAAATGAGAATATACTATCAGAGGAAGAAGTGATAAGAAAAATCCTGGACTGTGCTGAGATGGACAAATTAACAAAAGAGATAAAAGAAAAGGAAGACACAGAGTACTATCTAATATGGAACAAGTGGTATGACTGGTTGGAGACTAGAAATAATAAAGGAGAATAAATGTGGAAAGGTCAAAAGTGGAAAATGAGTGTATAATAATGTATAGTAATAATAATATGTATTATTTTTAGTATGAAGTATAATATGAAGGAAGAAAAATGCAAATAAGAAACAACAAGACAAGGACAAATATATCTAAAGAAGAATAAGGGGGGGGGGAATGTAAATAATAGAAGATTACCGTTACGAAATTGCTGCTAAAAAAAAGGAGGAGTATACACTCTGTGTATGTGTGTTATGTTTTGTTTTGTTTTGTTGGTTTAAAAAATAAAAAAATGTAAAAAAAAGAGAACTTCTGATTGCTAGACCATAGTCTGCTTCTAAGACACTAAACTAAAGAAGCTTGAGAAATATGATTATAAAAGCCCAGTCTAGCACAATACCACTGAAAAAAGAAAAATAAGAAGAAACCAGCATGATTGCATAAAGAACTCCCCGATAAACTGAAAGACAAAAAGGATAAGTGTAAAAAATAGGGACACATAACTAAGGCAAAATACCAGCATATAATCTGAATCTGCAAGGATGAAGTCAGAAAATTTTAGGCTCAGAATGAACTAAGACTTGCAACAAATACCAAAATAATAAAAAATGTTTCTTTCAATGTGTAAAAAACAAGAAAAAACTCAATCATATTTTTCAAACTTCCTGGAGCACTGGGGAACTACCAGAAGACTGGAAAAGAGCTGATATGGCTCCCATCTTCAGAAAAGGGGGAAAAAATGAAACTACAGACCAATCATCCTGACATCAATACCTGGCAAGATCCTGTAAAAGACATTCAAGCAACAGATTTGCAAACACTTAGAAGAAAGCAAAGTTATAATCAGAAGCCAATATGGATTTGTCAAAAACAAATCATGCCAAACGAAAGTTATTTCATTTTTTGACAAAGTGACTAAATTAGTGGACCAGAAAAAATGCTCTGAACATAGTATGTTTGGAATTTGACAAAGGCATTTGACAAAGTAGACCATAGCCTACTTCTTGGTAAGTTAGAAAAATGTGGGATAGGCAACATTAGCACCAGATGGATTCGTAACTGACTGACAAATCACACTCAATATGTAATCCTTAATGGAACTACACCTGTTATGTCCTGGGCCTGCTGAATAATTCAGCAGGCTCAGAAATGTTGCAAAGGGTCCTGGGCAAACCACAAGGCTGCCCAGGACCAGACTGACTGTCTCCAGCCTTGCGCGCATGCGCAAGGCGCAAAAACAGCCTTGCATTCATTGGCTGATGCTGGTCTTTCAAGGACACTATAAAAGGCCTGTGCACCATTTTTTCTGTTGCTGTTTGTTGGTGAATGAATAAAGAAGACTTGCTGTTCACACTACTAATTTCCTTGCAATGCCTTTAACCTGCGAATTTAACAGTGGTGACGAAGGTGGGATCGCTGCAAGCAAGATTACCAACAGAAGACAATAGGACTCACCAAGGAAGCCCTGAAGCCCTGGGGAAAGCTCAGCGTCCAGAATCATGACTCTGCCTGCCAGTACAAAATTGCTGGAGGTGAGCTCGGCAGAAGGACCCATTTCCAACAAAAGGTTTGCAGCGAAGGCTTTGACGAGGGTTGCAGAAGGCTAAGATGTCTAAGATAGGCCAGTTGTCAGACTTTGATATTTCCCACCCAGAATGCTGGAACTTGTACGTGGCGCAGGTGGAGAATTACTTCAGCATAAATCAGATAAAAGAAGACAGCCTTAAAGTGGCTACCCTGCTGTGTGTGTGTGTGTACAAGAAACATTTGACATAGCAGAGAGTCTGGTGGCCCCAGCACTTTTGGAGTCAGTGTCTTATGCATATTTAAAGAAGATGCTGAAAGAACATTTCCAACCTAAACTTTCAGTGATTGCTTGGCGACATGCGTTTGAGCAGAGGGACCAGAGGCCTGGTGAGTCTGCTGCAGACTTTATTGCTGCCTTAAGGCAAGCAGCGAGGCCTTGTGAATTCAAGGATCTGGAAGAGAGGCTGCAGGATTATTTAGTTTGTGGCCTAAGAAGTCGTGAGCTGCAGCAGAAGATCTTCGCCAAGGAAGATGTTTCGTTCCAAGATGCCTTGAGAGAGGTTGCAGCTGAAGAAGCAGCGGGTGGTGCTGTGAAGGCCTTGCGGCTCACCAGAAATCCTCCAGCCACCGTTACCATCCATCAAGAGGTCGTTCAAGAAGATTCAGAACAGGATTCTGAAGAGGAGGTGGATAGGTTGCACCAGTCAGCGGAGAGAAGGCCGAAGCAGCATCCAGACAAGGCCCCAGCATCTCCTCAGTGTTTCGGGTGTGGAGAGTGCCACAAGTGTGCTGACTGCAGGTTCCGCTCCGCCATTTGCTGGGCATGTGGCAGGCAAGGCCACATTGCCTCCATCTGTTTGGGTCACCAGAAGGTCCAGCCTCAGGAAGAATTGTTTCAGAAAGGTACCAGGGTCCCCAGCCAACACAGGGTGGGTTTCTGCGTGTCACGCAGGAGCATTTTAAGTACAGGAACACATAAGCCACTTTAAAAAAGCTTCACATTGACGTGAAGTTGCAGGGGGTTCCTTTGTCGATGGAGTAAAACTCAGGCCATTGAACTTAATTCTCACTGACTTCCAGAATTCCAGAGTCAGCGTGAAGGGGGAGGCCACGCTCAAGATGCAGCGTAGGGCTTTTGAAGGCCTATTAGATGTGGTGATAGTTGGGGGTGATTGCACAAGTCTCATTGGACTTGATTGGTTCAAGGCCCTTGGAATCCAAATGACTGGACTTCACATCCTGCAAACGTCAGGCCTTGCAGATGTTTGCAAGGAGTTTGCTGATGTGTTTAGCACAGCGCTTGGTTCATACAAGGGGCCTTCCATTGCCTTATGCTTAGACCCAGCTATCACACCCATTAGGATTAAGCCTAAGAGGATGCCTTTTGCTCTCAAAAGCAAAATTGATGCAGAGCTGGACAAGCTGCTCCAGCAGGGCATCTTAGAACCTGTGGACTCTAGTCCATGGGAAACCCCCATTGTAACGCCTCTAAAGGCTAATGGAGAAGTCTGAATTTGTGTGGACTATAAATGTACACTGAACAAAGTGCTGCAACAGCATGCATATCCAATGCCTGTGGTGAGCCACATTCTGACCTCCCTCAAGGGGGGGCAAATTTTTGCAAAACTTGATTTGGCAAGGCATACCAACAGCTACCTGTTGATGAGGCAACAGCTGAGGCTCAAACAATTGTAATGCACTGGGGAGCCTTTAAGGTCAAAAGATTGCAGTTTGGGGTTAATGTGGCCCCTAGTATCTTCCAAAGTGTAATGGAGCGCACGCTCTGTGGTATTCCTGGGGTCTGTCCCTACTTTGATGACGTCCTCATTGCTGGAGAGTCATTCTAAACTTAGCTGAAAGATTAAGGGCT